ATCTGTAATGCAGATATTTCTGAGTAGCCATCTAGCCTACTTTTTATTCAGCAGAAGGAAATAGCTCCTTTCATGGTATGAGCTACTGAACTTTGCTTATGTAGCTAACCTAAGATGAATTTCTGCTCAAAATCCCGTTCATTACCTATGAAAGAAACCCAGATGAGTAGCTAACATGGATCATTTCACACTGTAGAAGAGTGACTTCTATGCCTAGTGTCAGTAAGATCTTTGCTTGTAAAATGGGACCTGGAAGCAGACAGAATTGATAGCATGCTAACCACAAAAGTCAGATAAAATTGGGTTGTATTTTTCTGCCTAGCATGGAAATTTTATTTTGTGCAGCCAGTGGGAGCTGAAAGAATTCAGCCTCCTCAGCGACTTGGTGGAAAGACTACAGCAGTTTTTATTAGTATTCTGGGGCAGGTCCCTGCCTGTCTTTTTCTCTGTTTATTCCCTGCGTTTTAGTTCTTGCTATTAAGGTTAAGGCATTCCAATGATTCTTTAATGAATAAAGTATAAGATCTCTGAATCAGGAAATAGGAAGGAGGAACCTAAAACCTCCTACTACTTACAGGGCTATGCAGGTGTATTAACCACTGGGCAATGAGTAAGCTCTCTTGTTTTTCTCACCAATCTAATTTTGCACAGATGCCTAATTTATTAAGAGAGTCTTCCCACTGCAATCTCCGCTTTGCACCCAGAATAGTAGGTAGGTACTCTTTCTGGAAGAAGAAATGAACACAAAAAGCCCAGGGAAAACATTCATCCTCTTTCCATCAGAACTTTAAAATGGCTACCCACGCAATAGTTATGTAGTTGTGCTTTGTTTGATACCGTGAATATGCTCTTTTCTCTCATTTCTCCCCCCAACATAAGCACTCTGGGAAAGGTAGGCACAGAGAAATTTCTTATGTTTCATCCAGACAGCTTGAAGCTGGAGACATACAAAAAGATCTTTGGCTCAAATACTATCTCTAAATATCTATCTGATTATGAAAACACTTCTGAATTGATTCCATGCCTGTGGTCAATGACATTTTAGGAAGCTAAGCAAACTGGTGTCAGTCATGTTTTCTGTGTACAGCTTAGTTCTCTAGCTGTTTTTTTTGTTTGTTTGTTTTTTTGCTTGGGTTTTTTTTTTCTTTTTTTCTTTTTCATTTTATTTCATTGTTAGCTACCAATCTAATGAAGTTTAGCAACTTTTAGCAAAATCCTTTAATGTGTATGAAATAGAGTACAGTTATTGTTGAAACATGCATAAATATATTTTATTTGAAAGGAACAACATAAATTTTATAAATATAAAGGAAGAATGCTGCAGCTTTTTTATTATTTATTATTACTTTTTAAAATTTAGCTTCTTACTTTAGTTTGACACATTATGCTTCCTAAACAGAGGCTTGTGGTATTTGGCATCCATTCTTCTGTTCTTTTGATAAGTACCTAAACAGGATGTTCTTACAAATTAAATGAAAAACAGCACTGGAAGTTTTCCTCCCTCAGGAATAAGTATTAAGATTGGCAGATGGTTTAAGTGGAAATACACAGGAATTTACTTTATCCAGTACTTGAAAATTGTTACAGCAGATATTACTGAGGTAAATTCATAAAGCTCTATCAGACATCCTTCTGCACTGAATCAGTTTTTAATGGCCTCAGGCAAGAAATTTATTCTGTCTGAATTGTTGTAAAGCAGCCTTGCTCTAAATAGAAAAGCATATAAATAACCTAAAAAATATTATTTTCAGCTAATTTTATACCATAGGAATGTCTTTACCATTTCTTGGTAGAAAGGCTGTGAATACACTCTAAGTAATAATCATCTCAGAAAATTTAATGGAAGCTTTCTTAAGTCTTCACAGAAACCTGCAGTTGAGTTCAAATGCATGTGTGCACGTGTGGTCATTCATACAAGCACCAAATTTAACATAATATTGTGTGTGGAGAAAGTGTGAGTTCAAAAAACTGCTTAGATCAGTTTCTTACATATTTATTTTGGCATTTCTGATTCTCTCACCAGAATCGTGCACTTAATATCTATGTTTCATAAGAATTCATTTAGGTTATCTGAGCAACTTCCAGTGACAGGCAAGAAAAAGAAAGCAATGTCAAACTGACAGAAATAGTACTTGTTCTTTACTTGTTTCATATTTTTCCCGTGTTAGTGTATAATTGTCAAGTCAAAGAAATCTAATATTTACTGGCCCTCTAGTGGTGAAAGAAGCATTTTTGGGAAGATAGGAATTTCAATGAGCAGAAAATACAGATCTCCTAATTATGGAAGAAGATAAAACAAAAGATAGTATCATTTTGAAAATACAATGTATGTAAGTACAGGAAGATAGAAGTCATAGTCTTAATCATATTTAGAAACTTATTGGATTGAATCTTAGATGGTTTGAGGATCACTGAGTTCTTCTGCCCTGTACTAAAATGCTTAATGACAGCACTGTCATTGTTTTAATAATAAATAAGACCTGGACTTCCTTGGTGGAACCATGAAAACAAGTGCTAATAAGGGAACACTAAAAATAAATTTATAAATAAAGAAAAACCTAACTAATTTTATGTAATAGATGTAATTAAGCGAAGAGATGTATACCTGTCTCTTTCCAGCAAAGAGGGAAGAAATGACAGTAGAGTTTTTTGGCTATAATCTTGTGATATTTCTTTTGATTCACAGTGATTAACTCATGGGGTAAGCAAAGAGGTGGGAAACTTTTTTTTGCCTCTGCACTTCTGTAAAAGGAAAGGGATATTCCTAACCTGTGAGCAAGCAATTGTGATTTCTGCTTCATATTACAGAAGGTATTTCTTTTATTGAGGGCAACTAGTGACAATATGATGAGACACTGCACAATGAATTCCAAGGTGTTTCTCCATTGTAAATGAGACTGAGTTGCTGTATCATCTGCTCCATGCCATCTGGAAACTGTGATGTGAAACAAAACAGCATGCACAGGTGCTAAAATTTGCAGCTTAATTACCACACAGCAGGACATATAAAGGAGAGAACATTAACTATTAAATGGTTTTAAATGTTACAAATGCAGTTCAAAAGGTAAATTAGACAACACTGTGTATACAGCTACTTATGGAAACATTGATAGTAGACTTAATTTTATAGTAGTGGTAGGATTTTCCTTTTCAGCAAGTCTGTGTTACATTCCTCTTCAAAACTGTTTTACATAGGATCTATTGTGAATTCCATTTTATGAAGAGGCAAAATTCTGACCAATTCTCTTCACAATAAGACAGAAACAGTACTTATGCAGTGTTTTTCATCATATTCCCCATATATAAAATCTATTGACTTACTAAAACTTTATGAAAATTTAATAGAAAATAGTAACTGCTTTTTTTTTTTTTTTTTTTTTTTTCCCATGGATTTCAACAACAGGGACTACACAACAGTGTAGTCAAATAATTCAATTTATATTACATTTTTGAAAATATCCCTGAGAGATACACCAGTTCATATGCAGCAGATTGGATAAAAAGCATTAAAAACATGGTAGTGATATTTATAAAATTATAATTAAATTGTGAAGCAATTAAAATAAGAAAAAGATATTATCTTCCTTTTTTGCCTCACTGTATCTCTGGGCTGGTTATGTGACTTTTCAACTACTGAATTTAATTACTTTATTCCATAGTGACCTTCTTGAAATTCTAACAGAGGACCACAGAAAAAAAAAATGCATGTAGGTTTAAATTGCTGAGGTCTACACTTGAAATTGTTACTGCTTAGATTTTAAGCTTATTTGAAATTCACAAGTAAGTTATCATTACTGTCCAATCCATATGAAAGTTTTTAGTAATATGTACCTCAAACAGCATTGCAATAAGGGAAGCAAAGCTGAAACACTCCATTATCATAAAGGTGAAATGAAATGTTATTAAAATTTAAACTAAGAAAAAAATCATTTTGAGGAATGTCTGTGAAAGGACAGTACTTTTACTTGCCCCCTTGAAGCGAGAAAAGGATAGTTAGCTCTGTTAATCTCATTACATGATGTGTTTTCCTAAGGAAGGTAAGGTTTATTATAACTATAAAATCATTTTAACTGTAGCAAAATATCTTAATAGCACTTAATTTTTTTCCTGGTTGACAGTATCCTCCCTTCTCTGACATTAGGATGAGCAGCAGGTGGAATGGAAATTAGCTTGTTGTAGGGGTACACTTTTAGGTGTAGAAGGAAACCCAAGTAATTCCATCAAATTTAAGTTAGAAGAGAAGTTTCTGTATCTGTTCACATGCTTCTGGTCATGTACTTTCTTAAAAACATTAGAAGACCAAGACTATTCAAATACTCTGTTAGGACAACTAATTCTACACTGGCATACAGGAATAATATCTTCAGAACTTCTCTTCAAATTTGTGAGTGGAACACTTCTCCCCTTATTTTAGACTTGTAGAAATTAAACAAGTCAGGCCAAAGTCATAATAGCTTTCCTTATCATCAGCAGAGAGAATCAGGCAACTGAACAGAACAGCCTCAGAAATTAGTTCTGGTGATAAGACAAATTGTATTTCTGTACTGATGAGCCAGTGAGCACAATGTTATTGTTGCAGATGGCAATGTCTAATCTTAGACATTTAAACAAATGTGAACTTAGTGCTACCCCTGAAGGCCCAACTTCTAATGTTTTCGCCTAAAGAAGAAAAAACAAAGTATCTCTGTCCATCTCTAGATCTATTGTCAAATTTATGGTTATTTTTATATTTATTTTGCACCAATAAGCTCATACAGCAACAAATAATGCCAAGTCTTTCAGCACTTTGAATTAACGATTCTTTTTATAAGCTTACGAAAAAAAAAGACCACAACATTCTATTGCTTCCTTGATATCTTTTTTTTCCCCCAGTTAAAAACACCTTCATTTTTGTTCATTTGGTTGTAGGTATGCACACAAACATATTGCTCAATTTTCTGCTCAGTTTATGAGTTTATCATTTTTGTACTACGTTATTTTTGTTTGATCAAATGTTATATGTTAAGATATTGCTTAATTAAACAATAAAGATTACACAATAATCTATATTTTGAGTTTTCATGATGTTTTATTGCCAATATTACTGTTCAATCACAAAATATCCTGAGCTCAGCTGAAGTTATTTCCTGTTGTTTGGAATTTCATCACTGTGAATAACTGCCAAGATACCAAAATAGTGTATGATGTACATAATGACTAAATTGCCACAGTGTACTAAGTGTTTAATGGTAAAGGCCTTGCTCTTCAAACAGTTCCACATCAGAAGTCTGAAGACTTTGTGAAGTTCACGGTGTCCCATTAGGATTCAACAAACTGTCCAGAACAAAGCTGAAGCCTTTCTAAAAAGCACTGAAATACACAGAAAAAATTGTTAAATGAAGCTGATGATTTCAGCGAGATCTAAATTTAGCACATAAGGTGAAAAAAAGCAAAAATGAATGAATTTGCAGGTAGAACTGTTTTTATTCTGTGAGATCTGAACTGATGATTGCATAAGCAATTTAAATAACTTTCCACTTTCATAACTATAAAACGTGTATACTATAAAATTCTTCAGAACAAAAGGTGTTTTATGTTCTACATAATAAACCAGGAACTCAGATGAGAGCAAATATGCAAAAAAAAGTGTCTCAATGATAGAATGCTGATGTCTTTTTTTCAAACTGAAGGTGTTGCATGATCATGATGAAATTGCTATGATTAAACAATATTGAAATACTATGTTTTTAAAATATTTATCCCGTAACAATGTTATTTCTCCTACAAATTGATTCTGATGTTTGCACTTTTTATAAAAATGTTCTCTAGAAAAATACAAAACTACAATTTTGATTAAAAATAATACAGTGCTTGAAATCCATGTATATTAGCCTTGTGACATTTTATTATTCCACTGAACAGATTATATAGTGGAACTATAAAAAGTACACTGAAGGTCAACTGGATTATCATGACAAGGACTGACATGCATGTGAAAATGAAAAAAGAAAGAAAACTTTAGCAAGAACCAAGTACAAGATAGATACAATAGAGATCTTTAAAATTCTAACTGAAAGAAACATGACCAACAATGATTGTCACACTGAATAATTGGACCATAGTCCAAAATACTGTTAACGGAAACAACGGAAAGTAGTTGAGAATTGTGAGTGATATCTAATAATCATAAAGTAAAAGTAATTAACTGAACAAATGCAGCTGAGAAAAACTATTTTAGAACAAGCCCTATGAAAAACTTCAAGATTACATCTGACCAGAATTCCACTGTACTTCATTATTATAAAAAAAAAAAAAACACAATCAAATTCAGATGTGTCAATAGAAATAAAGTCTTCAATACAGGTACAGTTCCATCTGCTCTACAGAACAATATGAAAGTTTCAACTGGAATATGGATTTCAAGACTGGGTACCTCAGAATCACAATATGTGGCCGACAGATATTCACAAGTGTAAAAATTGTTACGTGTGAAGAGTGAATGGAGTGAATGAAGAAATGAAGTTGTTTACTGTAAAGAGCAGTAGATTTACAGAGGTCATGATAACATCCTTCAAATATGCAAAAGAATGTTCCAAACAATTTATTTCCCAATGACTATGTTAGATAAGAGGAAGAGCAGGTTACTGTTTTTTGGTTAGAGTTCAGGAAAATTTTACAAAGGTGATAGTAGTAAAGCCCAAGATATATGCTGTCTTAAAAGGTTGTGTTGTCTATATCTATGTAGTCAGACATAGAGGATCATGCTATGTCAAAGTTAGTCAGACATGATTTCTAAACTTATCTCAAACTTATTTTCTTAAAATTATTTCTCACATGAATCTAATGATATTCTGTAATGCACATCCAGTAATATGATAGTTTCAATAATAATAATGGAACTCAGAGCTACAAGATATCATCAATTGAAAGTATGAATATCTTGAAGAAGTGACTAACATTATTTCCCTATGGTAGTCACTAAAATAAAGCCTTGTCTTCTGGAATGGTCAAAATGTAAAGACACAGACAAAACCACAAGAGAAGTAGTTACTCATACAATTTTCAGTGAAATTGTGAAATAATTATAAAATATTTTATTTTATTGCATGAGGCAGAGAATTTTATTTTATTTATTGAGAGAAGAATTTTATTTCTTGATGGAGGAGAGGGGAAAAAGACGGGGAATAAAAGATATCATATCTTATCAGCAAATGATTGAGAGGGTCATTATTCCTTCCAAGGGAACTGAAATAATGATTATCTTTCATCATGGAAGTTTGTAGATAAAGTGGTTGGAAAAGCCTTTCATACAAATTAAGTAAAGGCCTGGGAAAATTGGTGACAAGAAAACACATACTATCAGTAAATTAAAATGTAGTGTGCAGTTACTCGGAAAGTAAGAAGAAAAATGTGAGTTTATTAAACATTTTCTTTAATAAGTAGAATAATTTACAAGAGCTTCCTCAGATTAAACTTCTGAAAAACTGTAGCATTCAGAAGCACTAAATATTTTTTTGAAAAATGATCAGAAAAAAAATCTGGCTGAATATAAGGAAAATTGAAAGTAAATATCAAAGTCTCACAAAAAAAGAGATCAGTAGTATATAAATCATTAATGGACAAAAGAAAAGCTAGGAACAGGGTAAAATGTTAGAAAGAGGTGAAAATTAAACAGTGGATATTTTTGAGGTGGTTGAGATACTTACAATATATGGTGGATGGAACAATTTAAAGATAACTACCCCATTTTAATAAATCTGAGACAACAGTCATGTCCACTGTGCTCCCAAATGCAGCAGCTGAAAAGAATTCATGTCAAAAAATACGTACATTAAAAAGCAGGACCAGTTCTTTGTTTCCTTCAATGACTCAATTTGAAAACAATTAATGATTAGAGGAGCTTCCAATTAATACAAATGTAGGAGAATATACCTTCTTAGAGAGAAGACTAGGAGACCTCAAGGAGATAGTTCTCAAAATACTCAGAAACCTGTCAGGAAATGAAAACTCTAGGAATTTCTATATGTGTGGATAATGACGACCTCCCGCTCTTCAGGGTTGTGGCTGAAGTGTAAAGACAGTGGAAATTTGCTTTAGATACCAATGAGCTCTATTGCTGTGACACAGTGCCACAATGAGTATATGTCTTGTTATTCCCATCCAGTCATACTGAGTTGTCAGGTTCATGCAGAAACAACAGGAGGCAAATATATCTTCTCAGCTTGCTGACAAGTGTTGCCCATTTTTAGTCCAGGGAGCAAAGCAAGCAAAAGAGATCATGTCTTTCTGTGCACATAGTAGTCTGTGCAAATAAACAACTTGCTGTTCTCCAGATAAACAGATAGTAGTAGTGCTATTTTTATTGTTCACACCAGCTAATATATTGCTATACTATTCTCATATATCTTTGTTCAGATAAAATTAATTCCAAGATAAATAGGTAAGAACAGTCACATTAATCACTTTGTGATTTCTACATAATCTTTTCCTCCATCAGAACCTAGACAATTGTCTTACTCTATATGTTAATTTTCTGGACTGTCTAATATGACCTTAAGTAGATGCATCTTACACTGTAAACATGAGATCTGACCCTTCTTCAACGCTATTGGTTGTTTTTTTTCTTAACTGATCACTTCGAAATTACATTTACCTGTTCATTTCAGGAAGAATGAATTGCTTTGTGAAACTCAATTTCCATTTTTCATACTAATTGGACTACTGGTAAGCCATTGATACAGTAAGATCTGTCAACTCATAGATAAACAAGAGGCAGTAACACTAAACAGAACTGGTCGAAGGAGTATTTGCTACTCCACAGTTGCTCACATTACAACAACCCCAGTATGAGGGCACTGTGATCTGCAAACAACTGAGGCTAAGGACTTGGTATGTCAACACTCTGTGCATTTTAGGAGATTTTACTAACTGCATTGGTCCCATGCAATGAATGTCTATAAGTGGCTAGAGAAAATCATGTTTCCTCTTGAAACATATCTTCCATTTTAATTTTGGCAAAACAAATCCACTGAGAACTATTTAAGAATTGTGAGGAGATGACTGTGTAATAATCAAGAAATATAGTTTCAAAAGTGCATTTCTGATCTGATCTCAAACTTAACTATAATTACACCCAGGGTATTTTGCAGTACCCAACAGGGACAGGCATCTTGACAGACACTTTGGGAAATTTGAGCACTAAACTTTTAAAAACTGACTAAAATTAAACTCTAGCAAGGTCAAAGATCAAGCCAGTTGGGTGAAAGATCTGTATCTGTCAGTACTCCAAAAACTATTGTAAAACTCAATTGTAGTGTCAGGAGTACAAACAGGAATATTTGTATGAGCATTATACACAGATGCTTCAACTATCTAAGTGCACATTATTTTGTGCCTGTTTAGTCTACTATTCTCCAATTCCAAATAAATTAAAATTAAAAATAAAATAAGGAAAGGGGAAGGGGAAAGGGAAGATGAAGAAGAGGGAGGGGAAAGGGAAAAGAAATGGAAAAGGGAGAGGGAAAAGTGAGAGGGAGGAGAGGAAAAAATGTATAGAAACAGATGAGTTGCAATGCTGTCTCAAATGAAGATTTTTAAACTTTTTTTTTTTTTTTAATTTCCAATTGTGGAATTGCTTTTTGAATATTTTTCTTCCATTTCTTTTGTTTTCTGCATTAATACATGATGGCTCCTCATGCACACATACAGTACTTCACTTTTGCAGAGGTGATACAACAATGATTTTCTATACCAAAAGAATTGCTGGACAGGTGGCTGACGTTTGCTTCTTTCTGCAAATAACTTTTTTTTTTCTTAAATCTCTTTGAGGATAGTGGAGGAAGAACAGGAATTAAGGGAGGGCTGTTATAAGTAAAGCTATAGAACCTCCTCTATATGGCTGTAAATGGGTTTCCCTAGGCTTGGACTTGAACAGTCCAATCCTCTGCCATGCAAGTTCAGTGAAGTGCAATGTCCCTCCATTAGCAGGCTGTGTTTTGTAACACCTGGGTGATGAATAGAGTTTCCAGCTAGTAATTAGACACCTCTTGAAGGCAGCAGAAGAGTCCCTTTTTGTACATTGTTTTCAAAGGTGGGGGTGGGGATGGGATAATTAAAGAAAAAGACTTCTTGTATGGAGTTTCATGTTAGCTTGCGCTCCGTCAGGAAAAAAAAAAAACAAAGAAACAGGGATTGAAGTTAGTTTCATATTAAATTCCATAAGGCGACATTCCTGCTGTATTCTCTACTGATTTTTCAGTCTCTTCAAACTTAATATCATGTTACAGGTATTGAAAATAAACGTGTTTTGCAGTCTAATGGGTAATGAAGCACTTAAGAGAAATCCCTGGGTCTCTCCATGTCTCTGGAGCCCAGAGAAGTTAGCATTCATTGCTCCAAGGGGATTTATTTAAGCTTAAAATAAGTGTTTCTTTGGACTTAATTATAGGAAGTGCTTAAGCTGCTGAATTCAAATGCCAAAAGGGATTCATTTAGTCTGAAGTGAATCTTTTCCTGTCCTGAAATTAAACCTCTCAGAAATGTTTGAAACAAGCAAGGAAAAGAAAAAGAGTAGCAGTTAACACTGTACCTATTTTTGAGGTCCATATTTTATCCTCATATGCTAAAAAAAATTTCTGGGAATTAGTTCGAATTCACCACCTAATGACTTCTGAAATTGATACGACATCTTTTAGTTGCAATGATAAGTAGTGAACAACTGAAAGTTCAAATAATTTGTTTGAAAAACAGTTTTCTTATGGCTTTGCTGTGTTTGTATATACATGAGTCCTGTGATTAATACAGAATGATTGATTATTGTTAAATTAAATCACTGCTTTAGTTTCTCATATAACTTGCATATCAGAAATACTCAAAATGTTCAGTTTCAGAGAGTGCAATGAAACCCTCTGACACTGGGTATCTGGCCCTGATCTCTTAACAGAAAGAATATAGATTTTGGATTATAATCTAAAGATCCAGCATCATGTACACGAAGAAATGCATTGAAAGCCCTCTTATCACTACAGGAGTATGGGTTTGCCTATGTGGAGGATTTATATTTGGAGCTGTTCCTAATCAACATAATTACATTAAAAGATAATTGGTATTTACTTACTTGTCTCAAAGCAACTTGTGTAGAAATTAGGGACTTATGCCTCTGTTGTTTTTTCTTTTTTGTTGTTTTTCCCTACCAAAATAAATAATAATGACTGATTTTGGTAAAATAAATAGAGCTAACAAATACTTATAGATTTATCTCAATTCATACCATTAGGATAGTACCATTAGTTATCTATTGTTTTTGCCCAGTGTTCCCAGAGTAGCCCTGCTCTTCTGGTCTAAACCACCTTACATCTCTATGCCCAGCTCTTCCAGAGCTTCATAATAATGTAACGGCTATGAAATTCTTCTTACAACAGTGTAAATAGCTTCATATAAATGTTCTGTTGTTGTGAAATATTTTTTTTCTTTTCTGCTTTGATAATAAAATAAAGTATTTTGTCATCATTTTGAACCCTAATGTAGGAACTGATCTCTAAGCTCTCTGAAACCACTTGTACCAAATTGCTCTGCATAGCAGTACATACCTTAGCAAGAGGCAAGAGAATGTGTCCTCAGTGGCATCAGCTAAACGACTCTGTTACTTAAATTTCTCAAGATATTTGCCTTTCTGCACTTCTGTTTTTCTGCCACTGTAAGGCATGGATTTAGAGAAGAGATGACAATGATAAGGTAAGGAGTTCTGCAGTGCAATTAGGTCTCAAATCCTTGTCAGCCACCTTTGAGAGTGTGAGATAAGAGCTCTGCCAGAGAGAATGGGAAAGAGAGCTTCATATTGTTATACACTAGTCTTGTGCATGGGTTATTGCTATCTAGTTTAAAAAAATGTACATATACATTTTGTTTATTTGACTGGAAATCAAGGGTTATTTTGAAATCACAATAAGCATATGAAATAACATCTGATATAAGTGGGCCCAGGCAAGCCTCATGAGGTTCATTAAATCTATGTGCAAGGTCTGGCACCTGGGGCCTAGCAAACTCTGCTGTACCTCAGATAGGTATGAAGCAGGACCTGGATGAATTCAATCATTCCTATCATACCACATTTTTTCCTTACCACCAAAGCCTCCACTTCCAAGTGTTACTTCCTTAACCCTCATGATCACTGATCTGCTCTTGTCTGCACTCTTAATCTCCCTAAACTCTCCCAGGTCTTAGCACCAAGCCAGTTCCTCACCACAGTCCCTCTGCATGGTCTGATTAGATACAGGGAATGTCAAGTCCAATGCTGGCATTATTACACTGTGCATGGAGCTGAACTACTCTCCTCTGTGCAGGACTCTGAGGAGCTGCATAAATGACCAGGTGACCCTGCAGGTCTTTTCAAACTTGGTGATCCTATGACACAAGGCAGAACAGCTCTCAAAAAGCCTTCAGCAGTGGCAAGCTGGGGGATATATGGACGGAGCACAGCACTGCTGTATGATCAATGAATATTAAGATGTTATAATTACAAAATAAACAAAAGAGTTAGACAAAGCAGGTTATAATAACAAAAAGAGAATGGATAGGACACTTACCCATATTCCAGGCTCACTTAGGAAACTCCAATGGAATAGATCTCCAGAGAAGACTCTACCCCACTACTAGTCAGCTCTTAAATGGGTCTAGAAGACCCCTTCCAGCAGCATAGGTGAATTGCTTTCACCTGTGCTCTGTGGCTGCCTCATTGCTCGCCTTAGGTGATCAATCAGAGGTTCAGGCCGTGACTCAGCAGTTCTCATACACTCCACCCCTTCACGGCATGAACCAATGATCAGGTTGACTAAAGGGTAAGCTTTTCCTAATACAGAGATCCGCTATATTGCGACACTTATACAATTTCCATCATGACGCACAATTCAAGATGAGTGACGATCGGTGAACATCCATATTCTTTTATGGGCCAGTGCTTGATGATGTTACTGGAGGCATGTGGTTATGAGGTGCAGGTCCATCCTATGTTCCACCAGTCCCATGTAGACCATCACTGGGTGTTTGTTGTGGTTTTGTGATTCCGGAATCCCTCTAATTAAAGGGGTCATCCTCTCAGGATCAGCGGGCATCATCAGGGGTGATTCATGATGTGGCTGCAGCTTTCTATCATACATCAGTTGGAGACAAGCAGCCTTTTGAACGCTCTCTGCTAATTGGTAAGTTGTTCCAGTAATGGCAAAGGGTCTCCCCTTTCTAAAGGGTTGAGACCACCTGCCCAATAGGCAGCCCTTTGTGTTAATGACCAGGGAGCACAACTGTTACCAGTAGTTAGAAATACTCCTGGTCCCCAATAACCTTCTGCTTCCTTTTCTGTCAACCGAATCTGGTCGCCGCCAGTGAGACTAACCCTCCATACATATTCTGTCTCTGATTCCTTTGAAGAGTGGCTAAAGTCTTTTTTCAATCTTGCTAGCTCGGTGGCCGAGAACGGAATTTCCTTAATATTCATTTGAGGATCTAGATCCTCGCTGTTATCGAAAGTATATTCGGTTTTTATCAAAGGACACAATGGGGCTATTGGGGTTTCTAATTTGTCTAGTCTTTCCTTTATTTCTTGTAGTTCCTCCTGAGGAAAAGTTTTTTCTTGAGGCAAAATATGGGTGACAGTATTGCTAGTATCCTTACATGTTAACAGTTCCTTGAAAGCCATCTGCAACAAAGCTGAATTACGTTTCTCTCTTTCTAATTGTTCCTCGAGATTAACTACTTGATTCTGCAGAGTTCTCACCAATTCTTGTGTAACTCTAACCAATTCCTGTAGTGCTTGTATGGTTTGGAGTTCTGCTGAATGCTTTTCAATTCAGAACTCCACGGCAGCTTTTAAAGCAGCCCCAAGTACGACACAAATAAACAACTTGCCTTTTCCAGCTCATGTACGAGCCTCATTCTGTAAAACACTAATGCAGTCCGAAACACTCTGCAAATTATGCCAATTCTGGCGCACCCGCTGCACCCCTGATAAAGAGGGACGAGCACCATGCTTTTCTAAAAGGTCAAATAACACATCTTCACTTTTCATACTGGCAATACTGTCACTCATTTCTTAATACAATGAAAGATCTACACTAAGGGAGGAGGAGGTACACGTGTTTGAAAGCTCAGTTACTCCTTACTGCTCCTCCCACATGTTAAGCTCGTTAATGTGCTTTTGTAGCAGCTGAACTTAGCAAATGATTTGTTTAGCTATACAGCTTTAAATCCGGCTGACCTCTTTGTTCAGTGCTGGTGCTGGTATGTTTCAATTCTCCTTCATTTTGAATTTTGAAATTCTAATAGTGCATTATTATTAAATTCTTCAGATTTTTTTTTTTTCAATTAACTTCCCCCCGTCTATAGACTACACATATATATAACTATGTATTCAAACAAAAAATATACAAGCATTAATTATTTTATGGAATTGAATAGATGTTACTGTACATTAAATATATATATATATATATATATCAGTTTAGGAGACAAGATTTAGGCATATATGTGGTCAGTGGTGTGAGTTTTCAGCAGAAGACAAAGTCTCCATTAAATATCAGCATTGTTTACGTGTATGGTATGACATTTGTTATTATAACTATTTAGTATCATAAATACCTTTATAAGCATAAGTGTTGTATATTTATATTAATTACGGTTTTTAGAACTGAGGCAAAAATACTTAGGAAATCATTTTTTAAAGTGAATTTGATTTATTGCTATGTTTTTTCTTTCTGATATGATCTTAACCTGACTTTAATTTTACTTTTTACTGTATGCCTAAAATAGGACATTTCTTAAATTTGTTGATTTTATACTTTCTTTAGAACTAACACAGCATCATGCAAAAACTATGAATTTCATAGACCAAAAGAAAGAAATAAGCATATGAAATTAGAGTAAACGTAAATAAGAGTAAACATGAGTGCATGTTTGAAAAGACTGCTGTTCTTTTGAGAACATCAGGAACAAAAAAGATCTGTTATTTTAAGATCTGAAATGCATTACTCTGCACATTTGTAATATACCAGGAAGATGACTTGTGTGAAGCAGTATACAACTGAGTTTGCTTTCTTCTGACAAATCAAATTATTAGAACTTATGTAGGAAGATTATAAATAAGTAGAAATGTATGACTCTCATAGTTGTGTTGCCTTTCTTTTTCAGATAGAACTGCTGATATTACTCTTAGGCATTCCTTCTCTCCTATTTGAACACTTATATTTAATAATATGATATAATCTGGAATTAGAAGTGGAATCATTTCAACTCACAACACCAGGAGAAGCAGAGGCACAAATAAGGGGAACACCTTGGAAGAATACCACAACAGCTGCACACTGTGTAAATGCATTTGTAAAATATGTAAAAGATCTCTCAAATGCTCTTTGGTACTGTTTGCAAAATGCAGTATGTCCTGTTTCAGTAACAGGGTACAAATTTGACTCTTCTAGTTCAAAGAAGCTGCAACAAGCCTTGACAGAATTCATGTTTAAAACTCAGTATTGAATGCATGTTCGAATATAGGCAGATTTCAATTTCCAAATCTACTGTTTTAAATAAACTGATCTAATTGGATCACAATATCAGTTATAGGAAGTGGTTACATAGCAGATAATGAATGAAGTTTAATTAAAAAAAAAAAAAAAAAGAAAGAAAGAAAATTATCAAATTATTCAGTTAATTATGTATAGATTTATATAGCTGACAGCATTCAAAAAATACAGATATAAGTAGAATCTCAACTTTTATTTAAGAGTAATCTTTATCTAATTCTTTGAAATATGTTTCATTTTTTTTTCATTTCACTCTTTGATCTCCACCCACAAATTTAACATCTGCAGACATGTTGAGTTTTCTTCATGAAATGCAACTTGCACAGATGATTTTCTGTGTTTCTTGGCAATTTTGCAATTAATCTTATATTCAGTGTTAAAATAGAAAAACATGAGCGAATGTACTAGCAAAACAAAAAGTCATGCTATTATTTTCAATAACATACAAAGAAGTAGTCTCAGTGTTTAGAGTAGGATAGCTTTGTGCTGAAAGATATTGTAACGAATGATCCATGTAATCAGTTCTGGATACAGACAAATCTTGTCAAGACATTTCAAATGATTCCACTTCCGGATTCCCTCCAGTTACAGACACTCTACACTCACTCCAGCACTCAGTTTAAG